AAGCAGCCCAGAAATATCTCACTGAACTTTATGATCACATAAGAAAAATATTTTTCCTCTATCTTCAAAAATGTATAAACAACTGCTTTCAGTATTTCCCTACTTAGGCAAATTTTTACAGGGAATGAAGAGTAATGATTATTTTATATTTCAGAAGTAGAAATAATTACAGGTAGAAGAAACTGCCTTAAATTTATTATATGAACTGAGAAAAAAATAATAAGTGTTCTGAGAAGACTTCTATTTAATCCATTTTAAGTGAGTACAATGTATTATATTCAATATTGAAAATATCCTCAAATCCAACATGGGCCAGTTGTTATGGTTACAAGCAGACATTATTTCACAAGTTTATACTTGGTCTGGCACAATAGGCATTATTTGGGAGTGAGTTTTTTTTTAATATGTAATCTTAGATGAGCTGCATACTATTATGTGGGTACAATTCAGAATTCTCTTTGAACATTTTCACTGGTTTTCATATTCAGTTTTAATTATTGGAAAATCTGCATGTAAGACATTATGGAGAGGTTGAATTTCAAAAAGTATATCTTGTTATTTTGTTTAGTGTAGACATTCTCAGATTTGTAGAAAAAATAGGGCTTAACTATGTGAATAATACTTAGCTATCAGAAGTTAGCTAGGTACATTGTCAATTTCTGGCTCAGAAGAAGATTCATACTCTATTCAATTAAAAGATGCTTTCAAGATAAGCAGTGTCTCACATCATTTTTTTAACAAGTGACTGCTATTTTCTAAAAATTTTATTGTCAAGATGATATACAGAGGGGTTACAGTTACACAATTAAGGTAGTGAGTAAATTTCTTGGCTAACTTGGTATCCCCTCCCTCATTTGTCTCCCTTTTTCCCAAATGATTTCCAAGACATGGACACAAGAAGCTTTTCTTTGTTGTTATTGTTCTTAATGTAATATGTGATTGGTTTATTTTTCTTTTCTGTTTTCCCCCTATGGTTTATCCTCTGTTGTCACTGTATTCTATTTTGGTACCCTGGGTAATATATATACATTTATCACATCTTTTCTTGTAACTACCCAGGAGGCAGAAATCTAAACATCTTTTCTTCAAGCCATCTCAGGCAGATGGGTCTGTCCATCTCTTATTTCCCAATAAAGCAGCAAAATGCAGGTATGGCTCAAGTGGACACCAGTAATAAGTGAGAGTGGGAGCCCCTACCCAAATATTGACCTATCCACTATCAAAAAAATCTTTTAAATTCAATATAGTCCTTTCATACTATTTTTTTCTGATTGATGAATTTTAAAGAGATAGATATTATATTATACGCATAAATCCAATATAATTACTCATCTGTATATAAGCCAGCTGTATCAGGTGTACATGGATATTGCTAAAACAAAATAAGCATGAGTTTATATATGACATATCTAGAAGAATTAAAATTAGATGATATTTAATGACTACTTGCTATGTGCCTATCAGTGTTTTATGTATTTATCCAAAAAAGTTTACAGTTTATAGCTAAAAATGAAAATAAACTATCATTGGCCTGTTCAACACTATAATAAATCCATGGTTAGTGGTTAATTTACACGTTCATATTTATGTAGTAATGGCAGGACTAGGGATTTGAAGTCAAATATTCCCTATTTAGGGTAGTTTGGCTAAGACTCTACATACTATTTATTATATTAGAAAACAGTAATTTACCTGGAAATTTACTAGAGACACAAGTCCTGTTCTAATTATATTACTACATGTGTCACATTTGTCACCACTTTACTCCTCATTTTACTAATGAAGGCGTTTACCTATAGGGCTTCAGTACCATTGCAGAACCAAATCTGGTACCACAAAACCTTTTTTTGAATCCACTGCTACTGAATTCACTGGGAATTCTTTGAAGGCAAAAGCATTATCACTTTACATTTAGTTTTCTACAGGTGATTAACCAATTTTCCAGCACCATTTACCATCTTTCTACCATTCTATTTTTTCAGCTCTCTTATCAAAGATTAGGTGGCTATAGGTCTGTGGGTTCATTTCTGGGTTTTCTATTTTATTCCATCGGTACTCAAGTCTATTCTTTGGCCAGTACCAAGCTGTTCTGATTACTATGGCTTTGTAGTAGAGTTTGAAATTTGGTATTGACATTCTTCCAGTGCTATTCTTTCTTTCTGTTAAGGATTGTTTTTGCTATTCGGGGTCTTTTATTGTTCCATATGAATTTTTGGATTGCTTCTTGTATTTCATTGAAGAATAGGGTTGGAATATTGATAGGCATCATATTGAATTTGTAGATAGCCTTGGGAAGTATTGCCATTTTCGCCTTTTTATCCTTTCAATCCAGGAGCATGGGAGGTTTTTCTACTTCCTAAGTTCTGCTTTGATTTCCTTTTTCAGGTTTTTAAAGTTTTCATCATAGAGGTCCTTCACTTCTTTAGTTAATTCTTAGGTATTTTATTTTTTCTGGCATTATTACTAATGGAGTTGCTTTTCTGATTTCAGCCACGCTCTTCTGTGGAAAAAAATATACTAAGTAAAATAAGCCAGGCCCAAAGAAACATAGGTCCCATGGTTTCACTTATTTGCAATAACTAGTATATGTCTGGGACAAGCAGAAAAGGTCAAAAGCTATGTACATATGACCAGACAGATAAGTTGATGATAAGTTAAATGAACCTCAAGATTGGGACACAAGTATTGTCTTTTTTCCTTTCTTGCTATAGTTTCTAACGTATGTATAATGTGCCATGTGATTTTTTTGTTTCTTTGTATGTTCCTCACCCATGGTATAACCAGTTTTCACTGTATTTGATGTCAGTGTCTTGCATCTTATATATTTGGGGAGGGGAAGAGAAATAACAAAATGCTTAAATAGGGATACAGGTTGACCCATTGTAACAATAAGATGCACAAGACACTATGTTGAAAAATGAACTTTACAACTTAGGAGGGGAGGAGGGAAGGGGGGAGGGAGGAGTGTAGTTAGAATGGCTATAATTAAGAACTCTAATAACAACAGATGCTGGAAGGGATGTGACCAAAAGGGAACCCTACTGCATTGTTGGTGGGAATGTAAACTTGTTCAACCACTTTGGAAAATAGTACGGAGGTTCCTCAAAAGACTCCACATAGAGCTCCCTTATGACCCAGCAATCCCACTTTTGGGCATTTATCCAAATGATCATGAACAAGAGCATGCTAAAGCTACCAGCACAACTATGTTTATTGCAGTCTTATTTACCATAGCTAAGATATAGAACCAACCCAGATGCCCCTCAGTAGATGAATGGATAAAGAAAATGTGATATATATATATATATATATATATATATATATATATATACACACACACATATATATATGGGAATTCTATGCCTCCATCAAAAAGAATGGAATCACCCTATTTGTTAAGAAATGAAAGACTTGGAAAAAAATACATTAAGTGAAGTAAGCCAGACCAAAAGAAACATAGGTCCCATGGTTTCCCTTATTAGCAATAACTAGTATATGTCTGAGACAAGCAGAAAAGATCGGTTAAGATAATGTTAAGCAAAATGAACCCCAAGATAGGTACACAAGTTTTGTTTTCTTGCTATCATTTCTAATGTATTTATAAAGTACCATGTGATTTTTTTGTTGTTTTGTATTCCCCTCCCCCACAGTATAACCCCTGTTTTCACTGTATTTGATGTCAGTGTAATTTTGGGAGGGGAAGGAAAAAAACAAATTGCTTAAATAGGGATACAGGTTGGCCCATGGCAACAATGAGATGTACAAGACACTATGTTGAAAAATGAACTTTACAATTTGGGGATGAGGAGTAGGGGAGTCTAGTTGAGGAGTTGGAAGGGAAGGGATGGCACGGGAAACAAAGGAGGTGGCAACAATGCTTGATAAGAAATGTTCTCATTACCTTGCTCATGTAACTGTAACCCCTCTGTACAGCATTTTCAAAATAAGAAACATTAAAAAAATGACCAAACACACTTATCTAATGTGTTTCCTAGTGCAGTAATTTTTATGAATAGCTCTACAGAAATTGTTGTTACTGCCCAAAAATATCTGAAAAATGAAATAGCACTGCTCTTTTTAGTTAAATAACAATTAAAACATATTTCAGATTCTAGGAGATTTTGTATAAAAAAGATTAGGTTTACATTGTTTTAGAAAACATTTCTCAAATACAGTTGATCTTCTAGCCTATTCAAAAATGTGACCTAACATTAATCAAGAAATAATTTGTAGAGAGCACAAGGGGCAATGTGAAATTATGTTTTCATGAAAATATCTTTGTAAAAATAAAAGATCTTGGTCAAGATAAATTATATGAATAAAGCCCAAGAGTGAAAAATGTGATATTATGACTAAACATTCAAACTAGAATTTAATTTTACATATTTTAATAGTAAAGAGAGATTGGCTAAGTGTTATTTGGACTCAATAAACAATGGAGGTTTGGATGGTAGGAAAAGCTTTTCTGACCCGGAACTCTTACCATAGTTTTGGACAGAGATGTAACAAATGTTGAGCACTATAAAATGTGTCTTTTTTTTTTTATCAACTCAAGATCTTTGTCAAAAAAAACTTTTGAAAATAGAGAAAAATTTAGGCTTTATCTAATGTAGAACTTAGATCATTTAAAATGCACAATTTACTTACATTTACATCAAGTAATTTCTAGTAATTTTCATTTGGAGATTAGTTCTTATCGGAGCTATTATTTCCTTATTATTTACCATAGCAACTCTTTTTGCTGTTTTTATTTAATTTTTAAGTTTTCATCGTGTGTGTGTGTGTGTGTGTGTGTATTAGTGTTGGTCCTGGGGCTTGAACTGAGAGTCTGAGCCCTGTCAGTGAGCAACATTTTGCTCAAAGTTAGCACTCTTCCCTCTTTCAGCCACAGTCCACTTCTGCTGGTAATTACATGGAAACAATTAGGCGAAGAAGATAAATACTGTGTAATGTTTTATTCCTGGGTTGTCTTTAAAATGGCTTTTGATTTTCTTTCCTAGGTATTTGTATTGGATTGACTGTTGTGAGAATCCTCACATTGGCCGTGTTGGGATGGATGGAACCAATCAGAGTGTTGTCATAGAAACCAAGATTTCTAGACCTATGGCACTAACAATAGATTATGTCAACCATAGACTCTATTGGGCTGATGAAAATCAAATTGAATTTAGCAACATGGATGGATCACATAGGCACAAAGGTTGGTCTAGCAGTATCATGAATCAATATTTATCTATAACACACATACACATGTATAATATGCTGTCAGAAAATTTATCTCTTATTATTATAACATTTTTACACTACTTTGTGAAATTCGGAAATTAGAATTAGGCAAAATTTTCAAAATCATATAATGTTTGCACAAATCATTTTGATACTGTCAATGCTTTCAATAATTTTTAAATTATGTCTATTAAAGGGGCAATAGTTTCATAAGTTAATATATTTGCATAAAACCTGATTGAATTGTATATACTAGTATATTTCCTTATAACCTGACACACTTTAGGCAGTTTAGCAGGGTTTGAAATTCATTTTAAGTAAGTTGAGTGAAAATATAACCTTTTATTACCAGTGATATAGCATTTTTTAAAGTTATAGATTAAACTATGTGCATGATTAAATTCACAATTATTTAGTAAATGGCAGTAGCTCTAACACAGTAATTAATATGGAAACATCTTTAAATTAAAATAACATCCAGGAACTAAAGTAAATGTGAATGAATATAGAATCTTACAAATACTTTATTTTTCACCTTTATTGACACTCAGCACATTAAGACCACTTTAAGTGTCAGACAAAGAATTAGATACCAGGAAAGAATTATCGGTAAAGAGGTTTATTATAAGAAAAGAATAGTTGAGAACAAAGGAATGAAATAGCCTACGGAGATAATGAAGAAGAGAAGGACTGATTACATGAATAGATTGAACAGAAATGACAGGATTCCTCAAAATATTTCAAATGCAGGTAATATGTCAATGATTAGATTATTTTTCAGTGAACTTAAAGAGCAATAATTTTCATTGTTTTTTAATACCTTAACATCATATTTACTATTGGATGTTTGAATTTTACAAAGAGGTTTCAAATAAAGCATACTGTTCATATGTCCAATCAAATCAGATTGCTTTCCTCTATGGCAGTAGACTTAGTGAAGTCTCTTGATGGAAGGGAAAAGGAGAAATAGAAAAAGAGAATAAAATTAAAATGCCAGATGAGACTCTGAAAACAGTTTTCAGTGTGGAATACTAAGAAGTATGAGTTCCTGCAGCTTCAAAAGAAAAATAAATGATATAAAGGCTCTGAAATGTCACTGAAATAGATCAGTGGTAGGGTATTTTCCTTCCATGGACAAGGCCCTCAATTCTGTTCCCAAGACTCAAAGAACAGTAGTGATAGAAAGGGTAGAAATATTAACAAATAGCTATAGGTTAACAATGGTCCACCATTTCATACATTTGATTACGTTTCTCAGTTGATGTTTAAACCAATACATTTTTGGTGCCAGTCCTGGGACTCAACCTCAGGCCCTGGACACTGTCCCTGAGCATTTTTGCTCATGGCTAATACTCTACCATTAGAGTGCCAGATTCACTTCTGATGTTTTGATGGTTTAATGGAGATAAGAGTCTCAAGACTTTCCTGATAAGACTGATTAGAACCATGATCCTCAGATCTCAGCTTCTTGAGTAGCCAGGATTGCAGGCATGAGCCACTGATACTCAGTATAAATTATATCCTTCTAATATATGATATATTCAAGAAGCCATTAAAGATGGTGTTTTAAAGGATAAAAGCACTGAGGTATGATAAGTACATTCCAATTTTGGAGATTAGCAAACATCAGAATGGCATGTGATTGAGGCTTCACTGAAATATAACTTTAGGATTGTAATTATTGAAAAGACAGGGCTGGGAAGGTGGCTCAGTGGTAGAGTACTTGCCTTGCATGCGTGAGGCCCTAGGTTCGATTCCTCAGCACCACATAAGGAGGAAAAAAAAAAGCCATAAGTGGCACCATGGCTCAAGTGGTAGAGTGCTAGCCTTAAGCTGAAGAGCTGAGGGACAGCGCCCAGGCCCAGAGTTCAGGCCCCATGACCGGACCCAAAAAAGACAAAAATATCCCATACAAAGAATCAATACCAATACAGCTTTCATCATTTTTGGGTAATACAGCTCAAATTTTTATTTTGGAGTTTCATATTTTCCCTATGAAACCGTGTCTTTCCATTTTTAGCATTTGTCAAAATCACCAGGCTGCTGTGCAAATGTAAGGTTTATGTACAATGAAGTCTATGTAAACTTTTGTTAGATAGGTAAATAAAGAAAATATGTATTTGTTGGGGCTCGGATTGTGGCTCAGTGGTAGAGTGCTTGCCTAACATGCATGAAGCCCTGGGTTCAATTCCTTAGCACCACATGAACAGAAAAACCCAGAAGTGGTGCTGGGGTTCAAGTGGTAGAGTGCTAGCCTTGAGTGAAAGAAGCTCAGGGACAGTGCCCAAGCCCTGAGTTCAAGCCCCAGGACTTGCCAGGAAAAAAAAGGAAATATATATATATATATATATATATATATATATATATAATTCCTTATTATATATATGCTTATTTTTCCTTTGATTCTTGGTATTTCAGTTTCAATGTTTCAAAATTTCAAAGATGAAATGTTGTTAGACTTATTCAAAATTATTAACTTCATCCACTGTTATTTTTAAATATGACTCAGATAGGGATGACTAGTGCTTTGGAAACTTAAATGTAATAGTTACGGGCATCTGATCATATAAAATAATATTTACCAAAAGGAACTCTAGGAAATGGACACAAGAAGTTTAATTCCTTGTTGCTCTTTTTATTTTCTTTTCATCTTGTCTTGTTTGTTCTTTATCCATCTTTCAAAGGGTAAGGGGGCACAGAAATTATGGGACAAAGGAGGAACAAATGCAGCAGTGATGCCCATTACATATGTTGAAAATGAACCATACAACTTGTGGGTGGGAACTGGAGGGAAAAACTGGGAGAAAGGAAAGGAAGGAGCAACATTGTGCAAAATATATGTTCTCTTTTTCAACTATGTAACTATGACCCTCTGCATATCACCTTTACAATAACAAAAAATACAATTTTAAAATACATACGATTTAATGAATGAGAACAAAGTATCATTCAGTCATTGATAGTGACTATGGATAAAGGAACATATTTAGGTAAGAGAAACCATAGGGGATATAAAATATTATCCAGAAGATAATCAAGTGTAATATTACTAAAATATATTACACTTCAGTTTAAACATAACTTGAAGTTCAAGTGGGAGAAAAAGGAATAAAAATGGTTTAGAAATATAAAAACATACTCAGTCGCATAAACCTCTCCTTAATCCATATGTGTGTGGTGTTTTGTGGTGTATGTGTGTATGTGTGTGTGCGTGCGTGCGCGCACGCGTGCGTGCATGTGTGCTTTATCTCTGCCCACTTCTACCATTCATTTAATAAAAACCCACTGACTTGTGTTTCTGTGCTAATTATTATTCTAGGCTGTGATGACTAGTCCCTGTCTGCAAAAGAATGTTCAATGTAGAAAAAAAAAATTTATTAGAAGACAAAGATAAGATGAGTGTCAGAAGTATGTACTGGATATTGTGCAAAGGCAGTTAGAGTAGTGAAACGTTCGCTGAACTGAGAACTTTGAGTAATGTTAGTGATTTAGAAAAACTGCCCATACCAGAAATATAGCAAGTAATCTTCCTACAGTGGAAACAGTCTGTGCAAAGGATAGAGTCTTGAAACTGTGGAGTTTAGAGGATTTGGTATGACTATAAATCATGTAAGAAGGATAAAACAATATTCAATGAACAAGAACAAGTTAGGGCCAGATTTTGACAAGCTTACTGTAGTATATAATCTCCATTTATTCATTAGGCATAGGGAACCATTGATACTGTTATTATTAGAATTGACAATAGCATGAAAAATGAAAACCCTAGAAGAGCAACCAATTTGGACAATTGAAATATTTTAGGATAATATGCTAAAAATACTTAGAGCTGTGGGAATAGCAATAATAGCAAACTTCACTAGTTACTTAACAGATAAAACAGGAGAGAACAGTAAGTTTATAGTAGAAAAACTGCAAGGTTAAATGTAAACACAGAATAAATGGTTTTTAATATTTTTCAGTTAGTTGAAGTAGGGGAATTCCATTGTATAACTATTGTTTGACATATATTCATATGTTATTCAAAAGAATAAATGTACCCTAATAAACCCAAATTTGTCATCTTTTTGAATCTTAAAACTCTTTTAACTAAGATATAATTTTAAAGAAGGATCAAGGAAAGATAAATTTTAAGGATATGTCTAAGCATGTTTTAGCACTTCTTTCCCTAGAAAGATTTCAGACATTTTGATAATTTATTTAGAGGGAAGAATTTGTTTAGAAGAACATGAAATACTCAGGAGAAACCTGGCAATTGTTGTCCTCTAGACTGAAATATTCAGTGTATCAATATGTAAATCTCTACACAAAATCAGAAAGATTCTATCTGAATAAGAGTGATCTTGGAATTCTATGTATTTTGGATTCACTCTTTACCGCTTCAAACCATTTAAAACTACAACTTTCCTCCCAAAGTGTTATGTTTTGATTTTGAACAAATAATAAAAACTTTGGTGAAGGTCAGCAGATCTTTACATGAAGCAATATCTTTTAAGTAGAGAAAGCAAAATTTAGAAATTTTGTAGAAGCAGGTAAATGGAGCTGGGTTGGATTGGGATCAATGGTAAATTAGTTCTTTCTTTCTTTCCTTCCTTCCTTCCTTCTTTCTTTCTTCCTTCCTTTCTTTCTTAATTTCTTTCTTCTTTTTTTCTTCTGAAGAGCATAGGTCAATCCTCTCAGCCATTGCCTTACCTACTGAGATAAGGCTTTGGGGACAAAAATGATATCAAAGAAAGTCCAGAACTAAACTTTGAAACCTGAAGTATAATGGAATCAAAAAAATTTGCATATGTTACAAAATCCTTGAGGCTTCATCTCAGATTAATGTTTTTCAGTCTTAAACAGAGAGATGATAAATACAGAATAATCAAATGTTTGCTTATATAGTCTGATGAAGCACTCAAATTACCAACACAAACCCTAGTCCTCCAGGAACCTTACTGGGGAAATTATTAAATAATTTTAATTGAACCA